TTTTTTATTGTGTTAATAGCATAGCCGGGAAAAGTCGCGCCACTCAACCGCCTTCCCTAGCAATTCGACTCATAAGCTTTTTAGTGAATTGAAAACATTTTTGCAAAACTGTGGCTCAACCTAATATTCACCTTTTTAAAAAACTGGAATATGTTCTTCAGCGGTTTGAAATTGATAATTTGGGTTATGGATTTACTACACACGAATAGAGACGCACATGCTAAACGCATAAGAACGCGGGGCTGCTATTCTCTCTTATCAGCAGAAGGTTCGAAATTGTTTTATTTTTGTAACATGGACCTTTGGAAATGTTTTTTTTGGGGGGTTGGTGAGTGAAGAAAATTCCGAAGCTTGAGATGAAATTTTGAGAACTTGTTCAGGTGTGGCCCTTCGACAGAAACTGATAATTCGACTGGGTCCTCACGATGCCAATAGAGCGGCTTCCAATAACCCACTCCAAAAGAACGCAGAAAGCATGGCAACTGTTTGCCGTGTACAGGTTTGAATTTTGTTGTGGTTTTTGTGCGCTACAATTGTGCATTCTTTGTTTTTTCTCAAAAATTCCTTGGGTCGCTCCAAAAATTCGTGACACCTTTACCTCAGTTTAGCTGCAGCAATAGAAAGACAATGTCTTTTAAGGTTGCCATATGTATCTTTTCTTCAGTTTAATATAGGGTAAGATCTTCTCCTTTTCAATATGAATTTTTATTGCTTCACTATTTTAATTGTAATAATCACTTTCCCAATATTATCCAAACAATTTCAATGGACACGAACATCTAAGGCACCTCAGAGAGAGAAATACTCAATATTTACCTTACTGTTGTTAGACGAACTGAGCTAAGGGCGTCGTTGGATGTGTTGGTAATATCGATAGTAGTTACAAGAAGCACAAATTATAGTCCACAATGCTGAGCCTACTTCAGCTCTTGTAGGCAAGTAAAATCCCGCAAAGGATTAAAGGCCCATCTCTTTTGAAACCGTTGATTTGAAGGGTATTGCAATGCTATTTTAGTGTTACGTTGTCGCTTAAGTCTACTCTAAATATCCCTGAAATATTGGTGAATTCAGCTTCAGAGCCCGATTCAGAATTGAGTATTTGTGTGGCGCCGGATGCTTGACGATTAGTGTTGGGTGTTGGGGTGAGACAGAGGGTTCTTAATGTCTTGGTATTAGACTGTGTAAAGCTGCTGCGTCTGACGTAGTGCGACTTTCATATTTCGTATAACACTTAATTTATCTAGAACTGTTGGGGTGTCCCAAATCGATTAAGCCTAAACTAATTTGAAATCATACAATAAGAAGTGGCTAGTAAAACAGAAAATACCAATGAGTAGCGACACTTCACAATATGAGAATAGCATAATGTCTGACCATTCATAACTACAAGAACTAGAACGACCTCGCTTTAACGGTGATAATAAAGATGTTTGCAGCAAAATCGTAATAGCATCATGAGACAGAACGCCTCCATCTCAACAAGCCTTGATTATCTGATTGGTGACGCACTGAAGCAAATTGGACTCATTCCAGCTGCTACCGACGTATGCAGTTTGTACATATCATAACATAAATTTGAAAGTTGCTTCCTTGTCAGGCGCCTGCGCCGAGCACAAGAGGTCAGCACAATGTGTTGGAGCTATTCCAGTTTCCAACTTTGGAAGCGGTTTTAATCTCAGATCAAATGAATGAATGCGATGTAGAGGTGTTAGACGAAGACGAAAGACCGGAGGTAGAAAGTATTCTTTCGATTTGACACACACAACACTTCGTTTTATAATCTATGTTCATAAATATCAGGTACACTCGACCTTTGTTTGCGATTTTTTGGATGCAGTTTGCGTACAAACAGACTTCAACGCTCAAGTCAGCTTCTTGCCTGAGTTACTGAAAAGTTACATTCAAAAATCGGTATGTTGCCAGTTCATTATCTGCGAGAATCGTCCAAAAGTTCCAAAACGAAATCGAGTAGCAAATGATCTTTCTAATTGTAGGACTCCCCCTTGCCGATAGAGAATCCAATGAAGAAAACGGACAGACGACGTTATCTTTGTGAGAAGTGGGCTGTTGATCCAAAAATCAGATTTATCGATCGTTTCCGATGGAATCCACCCGTGATCGACGAGATTCTCAGAAAATTACAGGTAAAAAGTTTGCTACTTAAGTCTGTCGATAATATAGGCAATTATCTCTTTATGGCAGATTTTCGACCATCGAACTACCATCCCAAAAGCACTACAACGGGCTTTGCTTGATCCACTTGATCAGGGTTTGGCGATGGCTTTGTACGAATTGCTCCGATTGGTAGATCGAACGAAACCACATGAGCGTGGTTCTAAAATGTAGCTGCAATGTCAATTTCACTTCGTGACTTTAATTCTGAAACAAATAATGTTAGTATGACAGTCTTTCATACAGGTTATATATTAATTTTTCTCCTTTCATAAATTGTAAATAAATAAGTTAAATGAGAAATTTTCTGCTGAAACGATATCCTTCCAAATAGAGTACGAGCTTTATGTGTTTATCAGAGCCTCACTTAGCTATAAGCGTGAAGCACAAACGTGAATGTCGCAGGTGCAGATTGATTATTACTTGTGATTGTATTCTTCCGTTTTCTTCGAATGCCATATCTTGTTAAATAATAAATACTGTGTTCAACTTTCTACGCAATAATATTGTCAAATAAGGTTTAGCTGAGGTATCGATTTTCGTCTCTGTAGATAGTTAGATTTGGAATTATGACCAAAGCAGTTTCAGGTTCTGCAGTATATAATTTAAAGCAATCACGTTTTTATGGGTATCGCTGGTCTTTGGCCGCTGCTTGAGCCCACATGTCAACCAGTTTCACTTGAATTTTTGGAAGGGAAGATCTTGGCTGTTGGTAGGATCATTATCATTTATAGGCATTTCTAAGCTTGTTTTGTTTGTGTAAGTTATACGATATCAGTGTTTCACCTCTTTTTTAGAGAGGTATGCGCTGTTTGCGTATTAAAGACTTAAATTTCTTGGTATTTTTTTGCATTGTTAGCAAGAAATTTCTCTTAATTTTATTCAAAACCATTGCATGCGCTCTTCAGCGAAAGGTTTGAAATGAAAGTTTGATCCCACCTTTTAACTCGGAGGAAATATCTCGGAGGAAAAAAGCACAAACGCCATTTGATCCCACCGCTGTGTCTCCTCATAGCAACACGGAATAACCAACTTACTACATTCTTCCAAAATTGTCATGTTTACTTAGTACTCTGCAGTTAACATGATAACGATTGATAACTGCTCTTTGACTTCCTTGGGACGAACTTTTCGTGACACACACACATATATACAGACAAACTTAGCACTTTGTCATAAATAATAATGATTTAATCCTTGAGCGGTCAACCTTTCATGTTAAAGATCCTTTGTTACATCTCTCTCT